GACAAAACTGCCTCTTACAGTAATACTTCCCAGCTATAAATGAAGTAGGAAACCTTTTTTTAAAGCAGTATTCCTTACTTTTTTTTTACCCTTATTCCCATATATTTCTTCTATAACATTGACAGTAGTACGTTTGGAATTGAAAGGACCTACATTAGTGATTGACAGGTTATCTATATAATGGAGCTATCTGGAAACCTTGACAGTGTAATAGTTTTAATTAAAGATACAAATGTTCCTCAAGTAAAAGTAGTCATTGTGCAGATTGGTCCATTTCAGAATAATATATATGATAAGTTTTATAATGATTGATCATTAAAGTGTTCTCAAAGCTGGTAAAGGTGCAGCTAGTTTGAATGACTTTGTATACTGCAGGGTAGCTTGTGGATTTACTCCAGGTGGAACTAAAGTCTGATTTAACACTTGATTATATTTCACATCATTAATCCATATCTGTGAAGTAACTAAAGGTATTACATACATGTAGTGGAGTAGAAGTACACCATTTACCTCTGAACTGTAGTGGAGTAGAAGTACACAGTAACATAACATTGAAATACTCAAGTAAAGTACAAGTACCTCAAAATTGTACTTAGTAACTTCCCCCCTCTGCTCACCTCTCTGCATGCGTTGAGCTCTTCAAACTCTCTGGTGGTCCAGTGTCTGTCCTTGAAGAAGTTGGTGGTGTTTCTTTTGTAAAACAAGTCCCAGTTTTTCTGAGCTTCTTTCTCCAGCTTCATGAGTTTGAAGTCGGACACCAGAGGCTTTTCTCGGCTCAGTGTGTCCGGCTCCTCCTGGGTCAAATCCCTGGAGGAGGAGGCTTTGTTCTGTCCGAAAACACACGGAGAAATATCTTCTTTTAGTCCCACTTCTACTTCTGGAGCTGTTGTTTTAATATCCACAGGAAAACCTTCACTTTTCGACATGATGCTTCTTCTTTTTTTTAGAAAGAAATAATGTCTTAATGCTCGGTTTCTTTCAGTAAAGTTGCTTTTTTTTAATTAATGAGAAAATAGTGTTCTTCACAAGGTTAAAAATGCAGTTGTTTGTGTGAAGAATCACGCTAAAATTAACTTATTACAAAAAAAAGAAACATGTTTTTTCCACATTTGAGGTCCATCTTGTCCGTTGTGTAAAGTCTTCCGTGTCAACTATTTGATTCCATTTCTTTCCGTTGGTTCCGCCCGTGACCCACTGGATTACAAACAATTAAAATACAACCACTACACGTAGTTTTCACATTTGATGTTAAAATAAGTGGTCAAAACTGTTTTACATTTGATTAAAACACAATAGAGGTGTTTCATGTTCATTATTAACGGTCACATTTCCTAGCCGCACCAAATCCGGAAGAGGCGGTGCTAAAGGGATGTTGTGCTAACGGTTAGCTACAGGAGGCTAACTGCTTCTTCTTCAGATATTTCTGAAGTAAACACACACTGCTTGCATTTTAACATTTGTAATAAACCGAGAGATGAACGGGAGCACCAATCCGCTGCTGGACAAAGAGGAGCATGTCCTGAAGCTCGGGGAGAGCTTCGAGAAGAGGCCAAAATCCTCCTTTCATACTATCAGATGTGAGTGAGAAACAACAACAACAACAACAACAACAACACTGTGAAATTGACTGATGTGTTTTAGTTATTCCGCTGACATTGACAGGGAGGCTCTTACATAACATGGCTAATTATAGCGAGACGTAAATGAAGTAATTTGCATAAAAACTAGATCGTCACACCCACTCCTTTAACGTTACAGCATCCATTGAAATATTATATAATATATATATATGTAGACAACTCTCAAATTATGTTTAAGTGGGATTACTACTGCTTACTAACGTGTGTGGTAAAAGTACATTATTCAAAATGAAAGTCACACATATGTTGTTTTCTGACATTTTTACATCATTACTGCCTGATCAAAAGTAGCTGGAAATGCCTTTTAGCCAGAATAATGTGGTATTAAAATGTATTTACCTTTTGAATTACGCATGAACAAGAACTAGTTTCACACAGAAATAAGAAGTATATATTCACTCAAAGCATTTAGCTGTTTGTGAGTTACTTCTTTTACTTTCTTGCAAGGTTTTATGAAAAACACCGTCTTGCTGCTACATAAGATGGTCAATGTCCTTTTTTCAGATGACTTCAAACCAGCCTCCATCGACACGAGCTGTGAGGGAGAGCTGCAAGTTGGGAAAGGAGAAGAAGTTACCATCACGTTACCTCACATCCCAGTAAGACTGTTGTTGTCCTCTTGTTTACTTTGTTTACCAGCGCTTCTGTAAAGAAAACAAAATCAAATGCAAACAAATCCACCTGACCGTTGACTGCAATACAGTTGAAGAGTATGAGAAGCTACTGTAAGCTGTGAGAAAATCCCAAACATTATACTGTAGACGTTTTAAAAAGTGTTAGACCAGGGGTGTCAAAACTGTCCAAATTCTGAAGTATAATGGAATATGGCCAACACATGAAACCTGTGATTGTCTTATATTGATTAAATATAAATGTACACATATATAACACAGTATTCATGTGTTAATAAGCCCACTTTTCAATTAAATTCAGTCGATTAAGGCTGCCAACACTTAATGTAACAAAGTAAATGAAACCCTCTGGAGAGCTGTGATGTTGGCTGTTTGTTTTCTTAAAGCATATTTAATTATCAAGCATAATTGACCTACATTTGATTAATTTAGCTAACTAATAACTTAACTTATGAGGCAATACGTATACCTCATTAGTGGCTCTGCCTTTTGTATATTTTTCAGTAGTGGCCCTAATGTTTGGACACCCCTGCGTTACACGATTATTCCTCTTTTCTCTATTAAAAAGGTTGCTGTTTGCTGACCAACTCCACCTGTTAGAGCCATTTTCCTTTCATCATTATGGTTTGAATGTTTGGCTTAGTAATATAAGGATTTAGAGTAAACTCTTTATTTTTGTGAGTCACACTACGGTTTAAAAGATGTTAATTTAAGTCTCACTTGTTTGCTGTCATATGTGCGCTGTCGGGTATGACGTGCATGTCTATATGTCTATATATGGCATGACAATGGGACACAGCACTGTGTTCTTTTTGTTCTATTTTGATACGGAGAACTTCTAGTTACTTTGAAGCGAGGAAGTTTGTCATCATGTTTCTAGCCGCCTTGATCAAAGAATAAATCTGATGTGATTCAACGCTACAACGAGCTCCGCAAAGTTTGTTTGGAAACAAAGAGAGGCGCGTCATAACCCACAACCCTGATAGAGGAAAGTGGATATTAAATGTAGAAACGGATTAAAACGCCACGACACCACCTTTACTTCTGATAAAGCACTGTGGTAAAGTAAACAGAGATATTCACATTACTGCTGTTCTTCCAGGGCTCCACGCCTCCCATGACGGTGTTCAAAGGGAACAAGCGGCCGTACCAGAAGGACTGTGTGCTCATCATCAACCACGACACCGGGGAATTCATGCTGGAGAAGCTGAGCAGCAGCATCCAGGTCAAGAAAACCAGGTGAGAAGTCAAACATGATAATGATAACTTTCAGGGGACCCAAGGTCGCTTTACAGAAGAAAGAAAAACCAAAAAACAGTCAGAGAGACAAAACAACAAATCATTTAGGGTCAGAAACTCCCACCTTTCCCTACTGTCATTCATCACAGGATGAGAAAGATGGCATTGATCTCAGACCTAATGAACACCTAAAAACTATATTTTGTTAGATATATTTTGATCCTACTTTTACACATTTGATTATGACTACACTGAATGCAGGGGTTATGTAGGCCATATAATCACAAATATTACATTTAAATACATTTACAAACAGTTATAAGAAAGCCAAGAGCATAACAATCTAAACAAGCTTCAATAAAATGAGACAGGTATAAAATACAAGTTACTGTGCAGAAAAATGTATAAGTAGTTATTTGATTTAGTAAAAGGTAACGGTAAAAAAAAGAGTCTTCAGCTTTGATTTCAAAGTGAAAGTAGCCGATTTCTGGGAGTTTTATTCCAGAGATAGTTGTTCAAGAGAGATTGGTGAGAAAATGTTTTGTTTTGGGCGACAGACAATCTGTTAGAGGATATTCCTGCACTATAGATCCAGACAGATTGTGAAGAACTCCTGAAGGACTAACTGTGTGTGTGTGTGTGTGTGTGTGTGTGTGTGTGTGTGTGTGTGTGTGGTGTGTGTGTGTGTGTGGTGTGTGTGTGTGTGTGTGTGTGTGTGTGTGTGTGTGTGTGTGTGTGTGTGTGTGTGTGTGTGTGTGTGTGTGTGTGTGTGTGTTTTTTTTTTCAGGGCGGAGGGCAGCAGTAAGATCCAGGCGCGGATCGAGCAGCAGTCGGTCCGCTCCACCTCTCAGCCCTCCTCTCAGTTCCGAGCCCCCACAAAGCCCGGGGCCAAAGCCTCCCCCTCCCCCTCTAAAGACGACCCGTCCCCGGAGCCTCAGCTGGACGACATCAAGAGAGGTGAGGAGGCAAGGAGTATATCATACTAGGTAACATGTTGTCAGGATTGGGGAAAATACGACCCAAATGCAAAGAGCGAGCTTTAATCCAAAAGCCGATGACAACGAAAAACAAGAAACAACTTGGCACGAGAAACAGGAACAAACTTACAGACAGGAGCAGGCAGGTAACATGAGCGAGAAAGACAACGACCGAACATGGAGCAGAGGGGAAGCAAGACGAGACTAAATACACAGAAGGGTGATCACAGGACAAGCTGGGGAGGGAAGGCAGGAACACAAAGAGAGACAATCAGACACAGGAGGGCAAACACAGGAAGGAAGACCGGACACAGGGAGAACAGAAATTCAAAAATAAAACCCGAAACTAAACACACAAAACTAAAATCATGACACATGTTGCATTACATCACATTTAGCGGACGCTTTCATCCAAAGCCACGGCCAATAAGAGCAACTAGAAGATTCCCCCTGATATTAGGTTATGTAAATAAACTTTGATTTGATTTGAAAGCAAATCTTAAAGTGGACCTATCATGCTATATTTGAATAATATAGTGTAGGACCATACCTATATAAGGCATATTTATACTTTTTGTTTTTCAAAATACCAAACAGATCATGCATTTTAGCCATGCCTCATTTCGCTCAATTTGACATTTTTTAGCTCTGTTTTAGCAAGGGCTGATTCTGTGAGAACAGCACCACCTACAGGCCTGGCATATGTACTACAGCGTCTCCAGCGCTTTCGAACGGCAATGGCCGTGGCTGTCTCCTCCTGATTGGTGGAGTTGGCCCAATAGCCGTAGCGCCACCGTCCTGACGTCAGGAAAGTGTTCAAATCTGGATCAGTTTTTATCAGATCCGTTGCAGCCCCTTTTTTAGAGATTTGGGTATGGAGGAAAATAGAGAGGGTTGTGTTTTCTGACACTTGGTGAGTTCCCTGGAACACCGGGGACACATATTCATGTATACAAGACGTACAAAAGTGCATTTTGCATGATAGGTCCCCTATAACTTATCTTATGATTATACTTGGATAAACAGATGAGGAATAAGGGTTTGAACGTGTTAAAGTGTGTGATTGTGCCCCCTGCTGCCCCCTGCTGGTTCAGAGCTGCGTGCGGAGGTGGAAGTCATCGAGCAGATGAGCAGCAGCTCCTCGGACTCGGCCTCCGGCAGCGGAGAGGAGAGCAGCGACGGAGAGCCGGACGTCGTCCCCCCCCGGCCGCTCAGCCAGACCTCGCCCCCCCGCCCCCCTCCCACAGCCAACGGGGGGCAGCCGGGCAACAACCAGCTCATGAACACACTGCGTGAGTCCCTCAAAGTTACTTTATTACTTCCATGAAGAGAAGACATTCAAAAAAACATGGCAGTCAAAGGAAAGATTTCAATGTCCGGCCGATTCTGAGAAATGATGGTCAAATATTAATTATTACTGAGCTTGAAAACAATTGATATGAAGGCTATGAAAAGGGACTTCTTTAGGGCATGGATTTCTATTTAATTTCAAATAAAACAAGTCCCGCCAATCGACTTGTTAAAAGTATAAATAAGTAAATATAACGCCGGAACCTTTTAAATAAAGGACTTCCTCTCTGACTCATCACATTTTAATTGAGGCGTGCTGCTGCCGACTTAAAAATCAAGTGTGGTTCAGTCCAGCTCTCAAATCGATTACAGGCTTCATAGACCGGTTTGGCCAAATTGGGATAGACCGATCTGACATTACTTGACGACTTTGAAGACCATTGAGAAATGTGTGTCTCTCTCCTAATGTCCGAACAGCTTGTTGCATCAATGAGAGCAGCTGTGTGTTATGACGGACTTTAACAGATTTTTCGGGTCAAAGTTCCCTTAAAACCAGCTAACGGAAACACTGATGTTGCGAGAGGCAGGGAAGGGCAAAGGACATATTGTAAAATATTTTCTCACCATTTCCAGTAACCAAGCATTTTAACAAACATCAGTGTTCATGAAACCACCTCAGTGTCAGTTCTCATTATGGTCGGACACTGGTCCAAAATGTCCTAATGTTATAATCTGTCTGTTTATCCCAGGAAACGACCTTCAGCTCAGCGAGTCGGGCAGCGACAGTGATGACGACTAAACTCTCTTCCTCTCTAAACACACACACACACACACACACACACACACACACACACACACACACACACACACACACACACACACACACACACACACACCCTCCTCTCCACTGGTTCCTTTGCTGTGGCAGCTCCCAGCTGTGTATCCCAGTTTGATTGTATCTTTTATTTTTTATTTTCGTATATCCTTAAAGCTAAGAGTGTATTTTTTATTAGATGTTATATTTTATTTTGTATAGCGAGACAGAGAAACTTTTACTTGGTCGGTTTGGAAGATTATATATTGGAGTGCACATATTTTCTGTACTCAGAGCAGCTACTTTTATCTCCATGTATCATCTGTCTCTCGTTGGGTTTGTCTTTACGCTGAGGCGAGGAAGAGATCATTTTGAAAGATAACCACTCTCTCACCTCGTCTGGTTTTAATCAGAGAAGGCTGTGGGAAGCTTCTCTACTTCTGTGTCATGTTTTTAATGTTTATTGGTATAAAGAAAATGCAGAATTGTCTATGCATCAGTAACACATTGATGAAAAACAAGTCAAATTTAGAGCATATTTTAGCAGTAATCTCATTACAGAGACCTTAATTAACTTTTTGTTAATTGCTCTTATGTCATGATTTAAGTTGTGTACTGACATGACCTTCTATTAACTGAAAGATAGCAAAGTTGCAGGTGTTAATCTGCATTTGGGGTTATTCTTTTACCACTAGAGGGCAGAAGAGACCTAAAAACAAACTGCCAGAAACAGATCTGACATGAATAAGCTTTTAATGTTGCTAATAGTTAGCAAGCAGTTGAATGTAAGAAATCCACCAAATCTAAAAACCTATCCGTGTTTAGGAACTCAAACCCTAAACATGTGGTGTGTTTGTAGCTGGAGAATAACGAATAATAAGCTAAACAAGGTCAAATATTCCAGTCAAGACGCAAAATGGTGTGTTCTTGGAAGTGTTACCTGATCAAAAGGTACCCAGCAACATATGGGAACAACACATGCCCTCCATCAAACAGAGGAGGAGATAGTAAGATGTGCTAATATGAATGCATTTTCTCAACTGGGTGCATTATGTTCTACCTTCTCGTCACAATGAATCCCAATTCCTCGCAGTATAACCAGTTACAGTATGATACCTATTACCATTCGTCAGATCCTGTGATGATAACGGTCTAAAACCTTTAAATATTCCGTTATCTCTCACCAAAAACAAGTATTCACAGGCGTTCTCCCTAGAATTACTGATAATAATTGAGTCTAAAGTGATTCATTTGTTAATAAAAGTCCTTCAAAGGCACCTGAAACTCAAATGATACACGATTACGTCTGAAAAAGGGAAATAAAATAGTTCAGAAAGTTCTTGTTTTTCTCCACACAGACACTCTTTGTTCTAAGTCGTGTCATTTTTCAATCAAACTTATTTTTTTAGACCCCACATTTCCATATAATATGAAAGGATCATTCCATGCCTTACAGCGTCTCAGTGAAGGTGAATGTGTTGTTTTGTGAAAAAGCCAAAGAGTGAAACTGCCTCTGGACGCTTCACATGTCGCTGTGTCATCGTTTTCATTAAAAGCATTGTTTGTGTTGATGTGATCATCTGCAGGAGACACTCTGTGATGATTGTAAAGTGAATCATTATCAATGCAACAAAACAACCTGCAGTCAGAAACACTAAGGGAGAGTTTCATAGCAAAATGCCAAGACTTCATTTTATTAGGAATTTGAAACAGTATTTTTGGTTAAAAAGTGTAATATAAGACGGGCTTTCTTTGATCCCTGTTGGGATATGTTGGACTTATAAAAAGGTTTTAAAGTTAGAGGAATGTTCCTTCTAGTTAATTTGACAATGAATCTGTAGAGCAGAGTCCTGATCAACTAAGAAATTGAAAAATTGTCTCACGTTTTTTTACGAGGAAGGAGAAGTAACCAACACAAAGTGACTGTTTATCTTTTTCTAAATTGTAAAATGAACCTTCAGCTGGTTTGATAAATCAGCCGCTGAGGCTCAAACGTCTCTCATCAGTCTCTGAATTCACTTTGAAAATCTGTCACACCTCGGTTGTTGAATGTTGTATTTGGTTATTTTGTTGTCATGTTTTTATATTAGTGCTACGTTTATGTGAAATGTGTTTGTACAAACTTGAAGTGTATTAAAAGTGTTTAAATTCATTTTAGTTTGCTCTTCATTGGGAGGATTAGGATAGGATAGTTGTGCATTAAAGCTCTGTTCTCACCTGACATTAACTCTGTGGGACAACAGGTGTGGATGCACCAAAGACGCTTTAGGATCCAATCATTCCCACATTTCAAGATGTTCTGGAGACACTTTACTGAAGCAAATGCATTGTTGGCTATTAAAGGTCACCTATCATGCTATTCTTAGGCAATAGCATAGGTCTCAGATATATAAAAATATATAAAAAACATGTCTATGAAGTGTTTTGCTCAAAATACCAAACAGATCACCCATTCTAGCCATGCCTCATATCCCCCTATTTCACTTCCTGTTTCAAAAGTGCTGATTTTGGGTATAAAGCTTTAAAAAAATTGAAAATTGATAACAAATTAAAAAGGAGGGGTCTGAGCTCATGCGGGACCCGGCAGCTACTGTCTAAACTAAATACTGCCGTGATGAAACGCCATATCATGGATTATCAAGGATTATCTCTGAAACAGTAGGAGCTCAAAGGCTTTCTCTCTTGCCGGTTATACCACAAGGTGAGTTCCTTTTTATTTCCTGCTTCTTCACACACATGCTCTCCAGTACAGGTTAGCTCTGAGTGTTAGCGATGCTAATGTAAACACCGACCATATTACGTCCAAAACAGTCGGGCATTGTTTCTGATAGCAACGTTTCTGATAGGGCCGTGGGTCCACATTTCAGATATTAGGTCGTATCGGACGCAAATCTGGATCAGCTCCGTTGTAGCCCCGTTTTTAGAGATTTGGGTACGGAGGAAAAGAGAGAGGGTTTTATTTTCTGACGCTGCGTGAGTTCCCCGACACACCGGGGACACATATTTATGTATAAAAGACATCAAGTGCATTTTGCATGATAGGTCCCCTTTAAAGGACTTCCTACTCAACCCACATCCTCTACGTACGTATTTGTCGTGTCAAATTAAAGTGAAACATCAGGCAACAACATCAGATCTCAAATGCTAAAAATGTTCCAAAAAGTCCACAGGGATATGCATGGATTAGCCAAGGAGTTGACCCAATCTGTATTGTTTTAATTCCTTCTTCTTTTCATGTCTGGCAGAGTAGGGACAGGAAGTAGATTGTTGCCTCCTGCTGGTTCAAAACATAATAATGGCCCTGAAAAATAATCTTTAAAGAAAACGCATGTATGTGCATAGGGTAGAGTGAGGTAAAATGAGCCACCCCCTGTATCTAGGCAACTGTGCACATTTGTTGTCATGTGACCATACATTCAGGAAGCACCCATCATGTATATGTGGCTGTGATGGAGAGAAGCACATGGTAAAGTGGTAAATGTGGTTTCTTTCACAATAACCCAGGTGTTGTCAGGTATAATAACTGTTGTGTTGACAGAAGACATCCTGAAATAAAGGTTGTTGTTGTCATTTCACTCATTTGTCCTTGCCTAGACGAGAGGACAACATAAGTGAAAATTGGCTCATCTCACCCCCAAATTGACTCGTTAGAGACACTTTAATGCCAGGTGTGAACTGAGAGCGATCCAATTGTGATCAGATCATCTTCAACACGGCCTAAGTGGGATTGTAAGTGCACATATCACACGGAGGAAGCAGTACATGTGCTTTCAGCTTGTAGAAAGCCTTCCTATTGTCCACAGTGAATTAAATACATACCAGGTAACCGCAACGTCCACATTTCACAGCCACAGGACTTTGTTGCATGTCATAATCATCTTTCTCCTCTCAATTCCTACCCTGAAAATGCTTTATTCAACCTTTTCAGCTTTGCCTGCAGGAGAAAACCTGAAGTGGTTCTTAAAACTCTGATAACTTTTTGGTTTGAACACATAATATGGAGCTTTACTTCCTAGCAACCCGTCAACATGTCTGTAGGATGCAATCAGTTCAATGGATTGTGATTTTCCAACCTCTTGGATTGCTAAATACACATCCTTTGTAGACGCCTGAAAGGGTAGAAACTGTCATTCTCAAGAAAGAAGCCGATATTAGAAATACAGTCTGAAAAATAAACAATGTAGGTCAGGGAAATCTGGATCCAAATAAAAGGAAATGCTCAAATGTATAAGAACTCCATCAGATTTCCAGATGTCTCCACTTCCTTACGGGAGTTTGAACGACCTGAGGCGTGGGCTCAGGAAAGTAAAGACAGCAGTCAGAAATGAACTTCGATAAAAGATTATATTGCTGGTCTTAAATAATCATCGTCAAGTGAAACATATGCTCGGTAAACACCTTCAGTTTGGTACGAACCACAACGACCTGTACACGTGGCTTATTATTACAATACAGTACTTTTTCCCTGCGATGGTGCAACAACTGAGTCACATTTGGGCTTTTCTCTTCAAACAGAAACACAAGAGTACACAACAAATACATAAATAGCTTTTGTTTCCCTTTAAAAATCATTTATAACGCAATTATACTCATGATTCTGGCTCTTGCTACGACATGTCATTTTAACCGATATATAAATTAACATCAACAACAAAAAATAATAATATTAATAATAATAATTAGAACAATAATAATAATAATAATAATAATAATATAAAAGCTGTCTGTCTTTCATATAAATCTGGCTAGCTTACAGTATGAAATGATGCAACAGGGAGGCATCAAAATCTCCTTATTCCAAAATGCAGATTTCTCACTTTTTGAGTGTCTGTGAGGGACAATGTGGACGCCATTTTGGCTCGAACAGGAGTCCAGTGGCCCACGTAGTTTCCTGAGGGTCCATGGCAGCGTGGACCAACGTTCCTCAGGAGTAGCAGAACGTAAAATATCCAAAACATAGGGGATTATCTCATCAGTTCTTCCCCTTAGAGAAATTGTAAACTCCGGGGGGCAGAAATTGGTTTCGTGACGGGACGAGAGGCTGGAGGAAGTTCTTCACCAAATCCCTCTAATGTCTAAATCAGATCAATCTGGACCCTGAGTACCGTATCCCATCCGATCCGTCCACATCAGACCTTTTTCTGCTTCTTTGGCCCTCTTTATATTCTGTCTCTATAACCTGCCCTGCCCCCCCCCCCCCACATCCCTCCGGGGTCAGGGGTCACCGGCCGGGGCAGGACGTGGGTTTGATGCAGCGGCCCTGGAACAGCACCAGGTTGGCGGGGCAGTGGCAGCCGGCCACGCAGGGCTTGTGGCACGGACCGATCTCGTTCCAGTTGTCGCAGGTTTTGGTGCAGCCGGGGCCGCAGGTGTCGTACACAGCGCCGTGTTTACACTGCGTGGCTGGAGGGGGACAACAAAAAAAGATGTTGCTGATATGTATCTATACACTTGAAAAAAAACATACAGTCCCCTCCAAAACTATTGGAATAGAAAACAATTAGATTTGACATCAAAAGATGAATATGAGACAAAAGGTCATTATTTCAGCTTTTAATTCCAGATCTCTTAAAGGTCTCCTATTATACTGTTTTTCATCAATATATCACAGGTCTCAGATATATACAGAGCCTGTCTCTGATTGGCTGAAACACCAAACAGATCATTGCAGCATTACCCATAATCCCCTCTGTTTCAGCCCTGTTTCCAAAGTGCTGATTCTCTGTCTGTTACTTTAGATGAAAATAAGGAGCCCCTCCCCACGCCCCTCTGAGAGAGATTTGGTTACAAAGAACTCAATGGTGCTCTAGGAGGAGATTCAGGTGATAAGGTGGGGGGGGGGTTACCTTGGTTGGTGATTGGCTAATGGTTACACAAGACAAAACATCGTTATGACATCATAAAGTGGCCAAAATCTGATCAGCTCATTTTCAGAGAGGTTTTTATAGAAATGGATCAGGACAAAAAGAGAGAGAATCTTTGTTCCTGAAACTTTCATGTTGATGTAGAAGAGACATGAAGAAGTGGATTTTGTATAACAGCTGTGACTCACCCATGCAGGAGGTGTCGGCCCTCCAGACGACGGGCGCTCCCTCCCTCTCGCAGGCCCGGCTGTACGCCATGAAGGACTCACAGTAACAGTTCTTATGGACCGGACACTCACACATGTCCGTCACACACGACCTACAGAGAGCAGCACGATCAAATAAACACGTTATCGGACGAGGGTGGGTTGTTATAAGATAAGATAAGAAGTACTTTAAACCACCAGACTCAGGGACAGTTTCATCCCACAGGCCATAAGAAAGAACATCCCTAACATTCATCTGTTTGCTTGTATATAGACTATTCTGCACTATTTCTATTTTATTTTTATTTTATTTACTTATTACACTATTATCTGTTTTATTGTGTTGCACTGTTGGAGGAGCCTGTGACCTCAGATTTTCATTGTTATATCCAGTGCCGATTCTAGAGTCTGTGGGGGCCCTAGGCAAACATTCACTGGGGGCCCCATCGAACCAGCTCTTCATCACCACGCACAGCCGACAGCTAGTAAAAGCATAACAAATACGGACACTTTAAATGAAACCTAATGCTTCTGTGCTCTGACCTGTAGAAAGGGGCGAAGTCGATCACACGGTGGCACTTCTGGAACTCCCACAGCTTTATCTTCTGGCACTCTCGATGAGCACGGAATTTGACCTTGACGCTGCCGGGACACAGGAAGGAGGCCGGCCGGCGGGGGGGGGGCTGCTGGGTGCAAACCTCGTTCCCCTCCATTCGCCACGACTCGGCAAACTCGTCCACGTCGAACTTGAACTGCCCGTCGCCCCCCATGGTGTCGTCACGCTTGTGGCCGTTGTAGTTTCCACAGAGGCCACAGAGACGTCCTCTCAGGTGGGGGGCCGCGACCACTTCAACGAAACTGTCACCGTCCCACGTGATCTCCAGACCTTCAGAGGGAGGAGGAGGAGGAGGAGGAGGAGGAGGAGGAGGAGGAGGAGGAGGAGGAGGGGAATAAAACTTAAGATTGAAGATCTGTCATTTGTGCCTACAGTGAACGCTCTTCCAACAGTGCAACATAGAATATACTTAAGACATATGGAAGTAAAAAAAATGCCTAAGATAAAACAGAATGTCAAATCTAATACTGATTATTATAATAATATGCAAATAGGTTTTATGCTTCTCTTGCCAATAAACCAAACAGAGGTAAGTGCATGTTGTGTTTCAACTTTGTCGACGTTATGTTTTTGCTTTGGACTTTTTGGTCTGAAGATAATCCTAATTCAATGTCCATTTTTATGCTTTTTACATAGCTTTCAAAAATGGTTGAAGAAACTAGTGAGTGATCCTTTAGTTGGGATTATTCTGGGCAAAGAAAATCTATGAAATCTATGAAATTACCCATCAGATTATTTTCTTTACCAAAGCCACAAATTATGCATTAAAAACTCAAAGTTCATGCTGTAGTCGTATGTCGTATGTCTCATGGTCTCCTAAACAGAGTGCCGTGTGCTGACCTGCGATGGTGGTGAGTTTGAGCAGGTACCCGTCCAGGTCGATGTGCACCCCGGGGCCGTGGTAGGGCAGGGCGATGCGGGTCCCGTTCTTCCGGACCGTGAGGTGCTGGTGGAGCCCGAGGACCAGCCCGCCCAGCCGGATCTCCACCGACTGAGTCCAGGAGAAGGAGCGCGTCCGCCGGGCGTCGTTCTTCACCAACACCTAGGGAACAGAGAGAGGAGACACACGTTGTTAAAAAAATATCACTGGTCCCCGGCTTGAGCTTCAATCTCAGGTTTCCATGTGTTTGTGATCCTCTCCAGAATGGAAGTAGTCATCACATACAGAGCATCAACTAGTTCCTGAACAGTGTCCTTCACATGCTGATATCCAAGAGAGGGAGTTACACAGTCACAAGATGGAGGAATAGAAAGCAGTATTCAATGTTTAGTTCAGATTAGCTCCACGTCAGAAATGATCATGCTTGTCATGTGTCTATCTCCATAGAGGCTGAATCATCATGTTAATCACATAGCTATCATATGCCTCAAACAGTCCTGATGCTCTTCTAGGTAATCATACATCCTGTCATGCACACAGCTACAGTTGGGATACCTTTGTTATCATGTTACTCTCACATTGGAAGAGTACATTCAGTATTTTCCCAACACACGTCAAGCTCCGGAAATATTTTGGTTTGGAGATTTTGCTATAGGATCCATTGAGAGAATGTCTCATCATTTGCACGTACAATTAAGCTCACCTTTAATATTTTGGTTTGGAGATTTACATGAAGAAAGACACTTTAAGTTATCAGATTTTATCGTGTAAAGAATTTCAAGATAAATGAATCAAATAATTATAATATCTATAACATTTTCGAACAAAATAACGACGCTATCGAGTTGTATTATATTTAGAGCATGTCTCATCATTTGTACGTAAAATATAAGCAAACATTTTGGGAAACTCTCTTATTAATACCAGTTTCTCCATCTCACCATGAAGCTGGAGTCCGTGCCGCTGACGGAGTTCCCTGCTCCTCCAGAGGGGGCGGAGCCACAGTCTCGAGTCAGGACGTACTGACAGGTGCCCTGGAAGTTAAAGGTCCTGCCGTCGAAGGTGTTGTAGTGAGGGTCTCCAAACACCGTGCACACACCCGGCTCTGCAGGGGGACGAGGCGGAGACAGAGAGGAGTTCAGATGGAGGAAGAACGACCAGAAGAACGAGAACATTGCAAGACAGGAAACAAAACATTTGAACTGAAAAAAGGCCTTATTGGGGTTTTAGGGGGTTACCCTTCTCTGTAGTGTGTTATATAGGTTTTAGTGCATGTAAATGGTCTGCAAAGGCTAACATCCCTGTGTTCCCTCCAGAGGGAGTTTCTCTCCCCACGGTCCCGCCTGAAAGCCTCCATTGGACTTCTTTGTTTACTTACAGAACATAGTGACATCATTATGTAACACTCACGCTTCTATTGGCTAGCGCTCCAACACATTGTATTTTATAAGTTAAGGGGCGGGACATTGCTAAGCAGAAATATCTGTTGTTTCAAATTAAAAGCATAGTTTATTTTCTTGTAGAGGAATCTAGCCATGCAGATAGATAGCTGTTGTTTATGTATCAATTATCAAGAAGTTGACTTCAAATTGACTAGATTGTACATGATACAGTAGGCTAAGGGGGCGGGACAGCTCTAAGCGGTTGACCAATCACAACAGAGGCGGCCAGTTAACCAATCAGAGCAGACTGGGCTCTGGTTTCAGACAGAGGGTGAAAAGAGGTGCTGCAGCACAGACAGTATGAGAAAAATAAAGAGCTTTTTGAACATTAAAGCATGGAGACATGTTCCAGTTGAGACACTACATACTGATATACACTTGAACATCAGCAGGAGAGGACTCTTTAAAGTAGAGACACTACATACTGATATACACCTGAACATCAGCAGGAGAGGACTCTTTAAAGTAGAGACACTACATACTGATATACACTTGAACATCAGCAGGAGAGGACTCTTTAAAGTAGAGACACTACATACTGATATACACCTGAACATCAGCAGGAGAGGACTCTTTAAAGTAGAGACACTACATACTGATATACACTTGAACATCAGCAGGAGAGAACTCTTTAAAGTAGAGACACTACATACTGATATACACCTGAACATCAGCAGGAGAGGACTCTTTAAAGTAGAGACACTACATACTGATATACACCTGAACATCAGCAGGAGAGGACTCTTTAAAGTAGAGACTCTACATACTGATATACACCTGAACATCAGCAGGAGAGGACTCTTTAAAGTAGAGACACTACATACTGATATACACCTGAACATCAGCAGGAGAGGACTCTTTAAAGTAGAGACACTACATACTGATATACACCTGAACATCAGCAGGAGAGGACTCTTTAAAGTAGAGACACTACTGATATACACCTGAACATCAGCAGGAGAGGACTCTTTAAAGTAGAGACACTACTGATATACACCTGAACATCAGCAGGAGAGGACTCTTTAAAATACAAGCACTAGGACACAAAACTAAATGATTGTTCCTTCCATTATAGCAGGAGACATCCAACAATGATATACACTGATGTCTGGGAGCCCGCAGCAAAAAGATAATTTATGATAAACGGTGAAATATGAGGAACCAATGTAACTTTCTCAGAAGTGGTATTTGGTCGTCTGAGGTTTATGGAGTCTTTGTTCTCCTGAAACGGTACATTTACAGCCATTTCTGTTGACTCACGCTGCAGGTCGCAGACAAAAAGCAGAGTGAAATGAGCCGAGGGCTAACTGACAGTCACGGGAAACGCTCAGCTCAACTTTGAATAGCAAAGATGTATTTTCTTTTTCTATAAAAAGGACGTTTCATAGATTTTACTCTACTAAATATCCCTCACAATAAACAATCAATACTTCATTTCCCAGCTGCATCAAGATCCAAGCACTGGACTTTGGTTCCGTGTGATAAATCTGCAGAAGAGGAAACTTACTCACTTTCAGTGCAGACGGGACAGCAGCCGGTCCTGTTCAGGATCTTATTCTGCAGGAGAGGAGACAGACAGGGTTAGAGACTCTCACAGGGACACAACTCTGTCAGAGAAGAGCGGAGGAAATACTTAACAGCATGCAGAATGATGGCGAGAAACATCACAGACACACCAGATGGAAAAGATCTGAAGAAGCTGACATTTATTAACAAAATATGGAAGATATATCTGAAGAAATGAATCGGCCAACTGGTTTATCAAGCCCAGTCGGCACCAATTACTTTCATAATGGACCATTCGAACACCGTCTTTTCATCTGTCTGGTTACATTTAGTGACGTAAAAAGCATGTGACGTGAAATAAAACACAATTTCCCAGGCGCAAATAAACACAACAACCATTAAAAGTGACAGTTGATCAAATAAAAATATTTCTGTAGATATCCTGGCAACAAACGGTTAAACTGACACATTTTTCCACATCATTTTGTTGGCCGCTGTAACACAAGGTGCAGCGTTTGTTTTCCAGCCGTCAGTCAAACAGACGGCTCAGAAGTGAAATGAAAGAATGAAACGGAAGAAAAGTTCCCGATCTGCCGAGTTCACAGTCGACCACAGAGACACCGATACTCCCACTTCAACCGCTGAGCTGTGTCTGTGTAACAGGAACCTCTGCGTGTGTGCGCTAAGTGTGTGTGTGTGTGTGTGTGTGTGTGTGTGTGTGTGTGTGTGTGTGTGTGTGTGTGTGTGTGCGTGCGTGCGTGCGTGCGTGCGTGTGTGTACAGTATGTTTCAACTTCCATCAGAAGTGCAGATCAGAGGACTCTTTCACACACTTAGTTTTTGTTGCCTCAGGGAAGCCCTTCATTCGCAAACACACACTCTTTTTTTCCCCTGTCTTTCTCTTTCACACACACACACACACACACACACACACACACACACACACACACACACACACACACACACACATCTGTCATCACCTACATACGTTCTCTGTACACTCAATACAAACTCCAGAGTCCTAACCTCTGCACAAAGGCCAATCTCTCTCTTTGAAGAGCGCTGCCTTTTGACAAACTGAGGACACACACACACACACACACACACACACACACACACACACACACTGACAGAGATTGGTTTTCAGGGGCCTAAATATAGGGAACCTCTTCTTTGCTGTCACTCTAACGTCACACGGACAAAAGGCTGTTCGGAGACACGCTGTCTCCAAAGGGACGCAGACACACACACACACGCACACACACACACACTCTGCCGACCTGCCGCTGACCGCAGGCTGACAGCATGGGAGTGTGTGTGTGTGTGTGGACTGTGGTGACCTCTGTGAGAGAGATAATACACAGCCATGATAACTTTGGACAGGTGTGTGAGTTTATAAACTGTGTCCTCGCCAAAATGAATTGCAGACATCACATGGTGCACATTCTTTTTTGTATATTCATTAATATAATCAACGAAAGCCATGACTTACTATACTTCCATTTACAACATCAGGAGTACCTGACCTACTGATGTTAAAGTAACAATGACAACAGGATCGCTTAGGAGAAGTGAAATATAGTCTAATGACTAAAACAGTTTTCTCTGAGTACTTCTCCCACCTCTACTAACTGCCACCAAATCCCTAACCCGTCATTTAAACCACATAGATCAAACATATCATATATACTTATCTGAAAGTGCTTCCCACGTTAACGACACACTGTTTGAATGTATTCTTGTGTAATAAATCACCAGCTTGTAGTGAGCTTTTGTGTTTCCCTTGTAGTCAAACGCAGACCACCTCCCTGCAGCCGCCTGTCTGACCACAACAACAGGTGAGGGCTTGTTGAAACCGCAGGAAGCGTGTGAACTTGGACTTTGACTGAGTGACCGTCAGCGGGCGGAGGAATGTGAGGAATCCTCTCCATCACCCAGCGGCCGACAGACGACCCCCGAGCGACCTCAGCGACAGGTGAGCGCAGCGAAAACCTTCCTCCTGCCAGAAGTTTCCCAGAGCGTTTGACAGCGAACGCCACGCCTCAGCTGCTCTTAGGTTCACTAATGTGCTGAAAGGGCACAGAGGATACACCCATAGACTGCTTATGTGTAAAGGAAAGAGCTCAGTGTTATGGAGAAGTCCTGGGAAGTGTGGCAAGACACAGATCCCCTGAAGAAAAGGGGATCTAATTAACACCTTCAATCTGCCAAATAGTGATAGCTCTGACGTATCTCCTAATAACAAGTGTCCAATTGATCTAAATTGAACAGGGAAGGGAAAATATAACTCTGAAAATAAGAAACTGTTGATTTTAAGATAAGATAAGATAAGAGGGAACTTTATTTATCCCCATGGGGAAATTCAGGCGTTTTAAGTCAGTAAATATGCTAGTAAATCAGGCTGTTGTCGCTAAAAGGGCCCAGTTTCTATGATATAGGATAGACTAAATACTGTATAAAGGAAAGACCTCGCTGTTATAGAGAAGTCCTGGAAGGTTCAATACCGACTGTGTGTCTTCGGCAAGCATGTGTCCCCTGCAGGAAAGTGGATCTAACATAAATGTAAGAGACAGATCTGACATATCTCCTAATAACAAGTATCGAATTATTCCAAGTTGCTCAGGAATGGGAAGTTCACTCAACTCTCAAGATATGAAACTGTTGATTTTAAGGCGAGTAAATCCACCAGTAAATCAAGCTAGTCGGGATGTTCAGGCGTTACAGAGGGTAAGTGAACGCAGCACAAACCTTCCTCCCTCCAGAAGTTTGTATAAAGCTCACTGTTATGGAAGTCCTGGAAAGTGACAGGTTCAAAACCGACTGTGTGTCTTTTGGCAAGACCCTCATCCCCTGCAGGAAAGTGGATCTAATCATAAATCATAAATCTGTCATAAATGTACGAGACAGATCTGACATATCTCCTTATAACACGTATCAAAGTAATCCAAGTTGCTCAGGAATGGGAAATATAACGCTGAAAATATGAAACTGTTGATTTTAAGTGAGTAAATCCGCCAGTAAATCTGGCTGTTGTCGCTGTTTTGAGGCGTTTTCTGTATGTGAAGCGAACGGCAGAAGTTTCCAGATCATCTGACAGCTAACGCAACTCGTCAGATACTCATTAGATCACTAATGTGCTAGAAGAGCACTGTTTTATATTGTAGAGGAGAAATATAACTCTTATAGAAAAGTCCTGGGTGGGAAGTGTGTCTTTTGGCAAGACACCAATCCCCTGCAGGAAAGAGGATATCACTTATATCATAAATCTGCCATAAATGTATGAGACAGATCTGACATATCTGCTAATAACAAGTATCAAATTGCAAAGGAAAGGAAAAATATAACTCTGAAAACACGAGACGTTCACATTTGAGAGTGTTATCTGCTAGTAAATCAGGCTAGCTTCGTTGTTTTGAGGCTTGTTTTTAAGTGACGCAGCACAAACCATCCTCATGCAAGAAGTTCCCAGAGACAGCGAACGCCACACTTCAGCTGCTCGTAAGATCACTCATTTCCTAAATAAGCATCGTTCTTTTTCAGAGGAAGAACAGGTTCAATACCGACTGTGTGTCTTTTAGCAAGATTACCTGCATGAAAGTGGATCTAATTTCTGTCATTAATCTGCCATATATTTATCAGATAGACCTGTCATATCGGCTAATAACAAGTATCTAATTGATCCTAAGAGATGCTGGAAACAGCAAACGGTCAAATTTGAGTCAGTAAATCTGCCAGTAAATCAGACAAGAGTCGCTGTTTTCAGTCTCTACGCAAGTGAAAGAAAAACCTTCGGCCTCTAAGAAGTTATTTGACAGCGAACGCCACATTTCAGCTTCTTAAAAATCATCAGAGGTGGGAAGAAGTGGAGTACAAATACTTTGTTACTGTACCTAAGTACATTCTTCTGGTATCAGTACTTTACTCCACTACTTATTTTTCTGACGACTTTTTACTTTGACTTCTTACATGTTGAACCCAAATACCTGTACTTTCTACTTCTTACATGTTGAACACAAATACCTGTACTTTCTACTTCTTACATTTTAAACCCAAATACCTGTACTTTCTACTTCTTACATGTTGAACACAAATACCTGTACTTTCTACTTCTTACATTTCCCAAACCGGCTGGTTCCTTTAGTTTGAATGTGTGTTTGGTGGCGTGATCATTATTATTTAGAGTCATTGCGTGCCTATTGATTTGAACACGATCCGTGTATCCATCATTTCCTGGTCTTCTCTAAAGAAGAGGGACCAATGAAAACGTTGTCATGTTGCCGTTGTTCAGCATGGAAACATTCATTAGCTAACAATGACATTATTGTTCTATTAATATAAAGGGAGGTCAGGTACTCTTTAAAACAGCTGCTAGTTATGGGTACTTTTTACTGAAGTACATTTCAAAGCCCTCTTTACTTTGACTTGAGTTAAGAAGTTTAGTCTGTACTTCTACTTTTACCAGAGTATTTTTAAACATGAGTATCTGTACTTCTACTTGAGTAAAGGATGTGTGTACTTTTGCCATCTCTGAAGATCACCTATTTTCTAAAAAGACACTATTATAGTATATAGGAAAAACCTCCTTGTCATAGAGAAGTCGTGAAGAGGACAGGTTCAATAAGAGACATGATCCCCTACATGAAAGAGGATCTGACTCCTGTCAGAAATCTGACATTAATGTATCAGATAAACCTGTCATATCTCCTGAAAACAAGTTTCAAACTCTCCTGAATTGCTCACAGAAAGGGAAAACAAAACTAGTGAAGCAAAGTAAATCCTCCAGTAAATCAGGCTTTTTGAGTCGTTACGCATGTGAAGTGAAAATGATGGAGTTAGTCACGGGCTGTAAAGAGTGAGACAGAGAGAGGAAAGCAGATCAAGTGGAGTGACAGAGACAGGCAGGGGGACGTAAAAACACAGAAATCAGGACGTTGGCCTGTGATTGGCCGATGGGCCTGTCACTCACCGAGGGGCAGCTACTGATTGGCACACACTGTTTGGGCCGACACTCGATGTTTCCTTTGACGCAGGCACACAGAGTGCAGTTAACGGAGGACCACATGTCTCCTTCCTGCAGGACAGAAACACAGCAACATCAGAATACATCCCACCATCTTTAATTCAGCCAACCATCTTGAATTCATCCGTTCATCTTGAATTCATCCAACCATTTTAGAGTCCAGTGCCCATCCATCCTCATGCATTCATCTGTCCATTTACCATTACCTTTTTCTTAATATACGTCCATTTTTCACACATGTTTCTGTCCATTCATCGGTATAACCATCCATCTATCACTGATTCATCAATTTAGTCAATCCTCCATTCATGGAGCTACTCCATCTCTCCATCAATACATTCAACATTTACCCATCATTCATTCATCTACAAATCACCCATTCAATAAATGTTTTGTTTGGATGATTTAAGTTTTCCCACAAAGAATCTTGCTAAAGCACCACCCCAAATCGTGTGTTTGAGAGAGATGTGCTCAGAAAGGTTTCGTGGAAATAAGTCATAAAACTTAGTATGAAAAAAGGATTCAAAATTGAAAAATTAAGGAAATAAATCTTGGTTGACGAAGAACCAAATGACCAATTGGTTGAATAATCACCTAAGAAGTTGCAGTTCTGTCCAACACTTGTCCATCCATTCATCCATCTCTATGTCTTTCCATCAATCCATCCATCATCCAATTCTTCAGTCTATTGATCCATTCATCCATCCATCATCCATCCATCATCCATCCATCATCCATCTATCATCCATCCATTCATCCATCCATCATCCATCCATCATCCATCCATCCATCATCCATCCATCATCCATCCATCATCCATCCATCCATCATCCATCCATCATCCATCCATCATCCATCCATCATCCATCCATTCATCCATCCATCAATTCATCCATCCATCATCCATCCATCATCCATCCATCCATCATCCATCCATCATCCATCCATCATCCATCCATCATCCATCCATCATCCATCCATCATCCATCCATCTGTCCATCATCCATCCATCAATTCATCCATCCATCATCCATCCATCATCCATCCATCCATCATCCATCCATCATCCATCCATCATCCATCCATCATCCATCCATCTGTCCATCATCCATCCATCATCCATCCATCTGTCCATCATCCATCCATCCATCCATCCATTCATCCATCCATCCATCATCCATCCATCCATCTGTCCATCATCCATCCATTCATCCATCCATCCATCTGTCCATCATCCATCCATCCATCTGTCCATCATCCATCCATCCATCCATTCATCCATTCATCCATCCATCCATCTGTCCATCATCCATCCATCCATCCATTCATCCATCCATCCATCTGTCCATCATCCATCCATCCATCTGTCCATCATCCATCCATCCATTCATCCATCCATTCATCCATCCATCCATCATCCATCCATCCATCTGTCCATCATCCATCCATCCATCTGTCCATCATCCATCCATCCATCCATTCATCCATCCATCCATCTGTCCATCATCCATCCATCCATCTGTCCATCATCCATCCATCCATTCATCCATCCATTCATCCATCCATCCATCCATTCATCCATCCATCCATCCATCCATCCATTCATCCATCCATCCATCATCCATCCATCCATCCATCCATTCATCCATCCATCCATCTGTCCATCATCCATCCATCCATCTGTCCATCATCCATCCATCCATCCATTCATCCATCCATCCATCTGTCCATCATCCATCCATCCATCATCCATCCATCCATCATCCATCCATCCATCATCCATCCATCCATCATCCATCCATCTGTCCATGCTTTCTAAGTTCCTCACCCTGTAGATCTTGTTTCTGACTCTGCAGTACTTCACCTCCTCCACCTTCACGTAGGACAGACACTCGTCACAGCAATGGTCGCCTTGGCAACTCCCAGGACGAGAGCACTGCTTGTTGCACACCACCGTTGAATCCTGGGAAGAAGAAAACAAACACAACTCAGATGGAGGACTCATTAAGACCTACAGGAGAAGGAAGACTTTAGATACAACAGATAGAATAATTATTTGTATATTTTTTCTTTTTCTTTTGGCCTCATGATGGCTAACATTAGATGACCATTTTAGTTTTCACTTCATATAGCATTGTAAATTGCATGAAATGATGGGCTGTTTTGTTTTAGTTTGGTTGTATGTATGTTTGACAGCGTGTGAGGACCCCAGGAAGAATAGCCAATGCTCATGCTAGTGCTAATGGGGATCCTAATAAAGAACAAGAACAAGAAGAACACAGGGTCTCTGATGGTGTGATGATGACGATGATGGTGTGATGATGACGATGATGGTGGTGGAGACGCAGACGTTACCTTGCAGGTGCAGGTGGTGCAGTTGTCTTGTGAGAAGGACGTGCCGTTCTCAAACACTTCACTGTGGAACAGACAGCTTCCTGAGTACAGATCAAACACCTTCCTCTGACCTGACGGAGGAGGAGGAGGAGGAGGAGGAGGAGGAGGAGGAGGAGGAGGAGGAGGAGGAGGAGGAGGAGAGAGTCAAATGATTGGACTGCTACAAAGCAATATGTGGAAATCAATGAATGGGCCAACATAGCATTTGTTGTTAGGTGAGAGAAGTATATGAAGGTCTTTACCGAGACATCTGGAGCAGCACTGTCCGGGGGGGGTGTGGCTGAGGTGGGCGGGGCATGAGAGGACGGGACACACCTCCCTCATGCAGAGAGTCCGCCCTCCCTGGAGGACAAACATATCAAAACACATTTAAATAAGGATTATATTTGCATTCAGGTGATAATTAAACATCTCTTAAAGGTCCCCTATTATACTGTTTTTCATCAATATATCACAGGTCTCAGATATATACAGAGCCTGTCTCTGATTGGCTGAAACACCAAACAGATCATTGCAGCATCCCATAATCCCCTCTGTTTCAGCCCTGTTTCCAAAGTGCTGATTCTCTGTCTGTTACTTTAGATGAAAATAAGGAGCCCCTCCCCACGCCCCTCTGAGAGATATTTGGTGTGTGTGTGTGTTTGTGTGTGTGTGTGTGTGTGTGTGTGTGTGTGTGTGTGTGTGTGTGTGTGTGTGTGTGTGTGTGTGTGTGTGTGTGTGTGTGTGTGTGTGTGTGTGTGTTTATGTGTTAACAAGCCTATAGTTCGCTACAACTAGGTGCAACAAGCACATTAATGTTGTAATGTGTTTATGGGCGTACCTGTGGGGTGTGTTTGTCTAACGGGGAGGAAGGGGGGAGGGAGGAAGAGGAGGAGGAGGGAGGGGGGAGGGAGCAAGAGGAGGAGGAAAATAATTAGGAAGCGGATGTTGTTCTAACCAAAAGTGTACGACTCCCAGGAGACGCCAAACTAATTTATTTAGAGAAAAAGGCGCGGCTCAGAAAAACTCATACATAGGGTGTGTGTGTGTGTGTGTGTGTGTGTGTGTGTGTGTGTGTGTGTGTGTGTGTGTGTGTGTGTGTGTGTGTGTGTGTGTGTGTGTGTGTGTGTGTGTGTGTGTGTGTGTGTGTGTGTGTACTCACAGTGCAGGAGCATTTGATGCAGGGTTTGCCCTCAGGACTGAACTCCTGCTTCTCTTTGTACAGACGAGCCTCAAAGATACAACCTGCAGGAGAAGGTACACACACACATCACACACTTTTTATTAAATTCACCAACACACACCTCTGTATCCTCACTGTACCTTACACTCTTATCCAGAGTATTTTTTAGAATAATTTGACTTTATTTGATTTGAGTTTGAGGTATTTTATTCCCCAAATTCTGCAAGTAAAGAAATATTTTTGTAAAGACTGAATAATCCAAATGTTGGAGGCAGGGAATGCAAAAAATGTCAATGTCTGTAAATAATGAGTTTTATTAACGTCTTGTTTTACATGAATTCAGATGAGTGTATCAAAGTAATACAAATCCCTAGATTACACAAAAAGAAGCACTCAAGGCTCAAAACTGGGTGGATTTAAGATGAATTTGACCAAATATTTAAACACAAGTCAGGTGTTTTGTTTACTTGACGTAAGAAAGTAAAGTAAAAATGTATTAACCTGGAGTTTATTCATTAAAAAGACCTTCTTCCAACCAGTCATTACAAACATTACAATCTCTATTTCATTTCCTTTAAAAACACAGAAGCTTTCAAAGGTGTGTTGTGATAATGAGTGGGGGTCTCAGGACTCACTGGGGCAGGTGGGGCAGCACTTCTTTGGGTGGATTTTGGGGTTCCTGCAGTGAACGACACACTGCACGTCCGCCTCAGTGATCACACCTTCCTGTCACAACCAGCAGGGAACGACATCTTAGCTTTTATTTTGACGCTGGATAACTTCCTTGCTTCATCCACTTGTTCCCTCCTTGCTTCACTGTTCCTTTCTGTCTTATAATACATCACTAGTTCGACCTTTCCCTTTCCCATTTCATTGTAGCTATTTGGTTTTCCTTCTTGAATATTTGCTTTCTTCCATACCTCAGTTTTCCTTCTGGTGTTGCTCTCTTACTTGGCTACCTTCTCGTTTCCTTTTAACCATTTTTTTCATGTGTCCTTCTTTGCTTCCTTCGTTCTTTCCTTCCATCTTCTTGTTTGTCTGTTACGTACTCTCCTCTTTCCTTTCCCTTTTGTGTTTCCCTTGTGTTTCGCCTTCCTTCCTTCCTTCCTTCCTTCCTTCCTTCCTTCCTTCCTTCCTTCCTTCCTTGCTTCCTAGTTTTTGTTTAAAATCTATTGCACCCTCTTTTGTTGTCTCCTACTTTGCTGCCTCTTTCCTTCCTCCTAGTTTCATTTCATTTTTCTTCTCTTACTACCCCACCTATTTTCATTCCCTTTGCCTTTTGTTCCTCCTTCCTTCCTTGATTACTTCCTCTCTCTCTCCCTTCCTTCCTTCGTTAAGACTTTTGTCATTTTACTCCTGTATCTCTACCTTTCTGTAATAACAGCACGTTTGTATTGTTTCAGATAAATAACACTGTCTACCTGCTCCCACACACACACACACACACACACACATACACACACACACACACACACACACACACACACACACACACACACACACACACACACACACACACACACACACACCATGTATACATCTCTTCAGGGGACATTACATTGACTTACATGCATTTCCTGGAGACTTATCCTAACCTTAACCATAACCAACACATGCCTAACCCTAACCCTAACCCTGCCTAACCCTAACCCTAACCAAGTCTTCACCCTAAAATTAATGATTCCCCTCATGATGGCCTCCATTTTGTCCCCATAAGGGAGGCGAGTCCCCACACGTGACTGTGTAAACAGATTTAGGTCCCCACAAGTATAGTAATGCTAGGCCACACACACACACACACACACACACACACACACACACACACACACACACACACACACACACACACACACACACACACACACACACACACACACACACACACACACTCACCTGGCAGCGTCTGTTGATGCAGGGTTTGGTGGAGGTGGTCCAGGAAACTGAGCTGTTGTAAGTTCGTCCGTCCAACAAGCAACCTGAGAGAAGCAGAGAGAGAGACCGTCATAAACTATTAATTTTATACAATTCAAGACACAGAAATTGAGTCTAAATCTATGCAGCCGTGTAAAAGTAAAGAAATCATCCCCTGAAGTCCACACCCCTATTAGTTCCACTTATTTAAAAGCATGGTTGCAAGAAAGTAAAAATGTGATTAATGGTTTAAATTCACCTCTGAAGTTGCAAACATTACTTTCTTATGAGACATCTAAGTGTAATATTGCTGATTATCACACATTTTGTGCAATTTAAACTCAAAATTGAAGAGTTAAAGGATGCAAAAAAAACATTACAGGTTGTATAACTTAATGAAACTGGCTTGATTCTGTCCGTTTGTTCCCACCCTCTCGTTCTCACGTTACACGCCCGGACAGATTCAGACGCTCAGCGCTGAATGAGAAGCTATTCATTTCATGACATGTACAGTCAGTGGGCTCAGATCAATGATGAAACCTGATCACTAACATCGATCTGAGGAAACCAAACCGTGTAATACAGTAGCAACATACAAAGATGAGATTAGATGGCAGGAGGTCCCGCAGAGACTCAACCCTCTTCATACAGTGAGTGCTCACTAATGCAGATTAATATGACAACAGGAGAGGTGAGAGGAGAGAGGAGAGAGGAGAGGAGAGGAGAGGAGAGGAGAGGAGAGGAGAGGAAAGGAAAGAAGAGGAGAGGAAGAGGGGAGAGGAGAGAGTAGAGAATAGCTTCCAGACTGTCTTTAGAGGGTTATCCAATCAGAGGGACTCAGTACTGAGAGGAGTTTGCACGATAACATGAAGATTAAGGACTTTTTAATTAAACAAATAGAGTATTAGTGTGTGTATAAACATTTTGGGGAATTTGTAATCGACAATTGTTCAAATAAATGATGTCAAAGGGAAGGTGTGATCAGACATTTGCTTCAGTTTGACATCATTTTTAAATAAATTACTTATTTGTTTATTTATTACTTTTAAAACCTTTCTTGGAGTTTTATGAGATGACCAGAATTCACTTTAATTCAAGTGATTGTACATTTTCTCATGATCCTTTAAAGAAATGTTCTACATATAATGCAGTTTTTTATGATCTTTTATGAATCCAATATAACTTTATCTTCCTATAAACTATAACAATATAAACGGGTTAATTAAAACGCTATAAAACCCAATGTGTCCCCAATGAACTGACCCAGTCGCTCTCTATGATTTCATGATTAAGTGAGAAAGCAGAGATGTGACATGTTGGAGTCGGGGGTCCTAAACTCGGTCACGGCGACCACAAGTCGACCACAAAACAGAAAACTAACACAGGTTGTCATGACGATGAGGGGCTTTCCGTGTCCGAGTGTAGTCTCCTAATGAAGTGCTGCGTCGTAAAACTGAACCACAAACAAAAGAGCCGCACCCTGCTCAGAGCTAGGTGCGTGTGTGTGTGTGTGTGTGTGTGTGTGTGTGTGTGTGTGTGTGTGTGTGTGTGTGTGTGTGTGTGTGTGTGTGCGCGTGCGTGTGTGTGTGTGTGTGTGCGTGTGTGTGTGTGTGTGTGTGTGTTGTTATATGTATATGGAAGGCACTAGCTTTGATAGCTCCAATAGACCAGAAACTGCAGGAACATCCTCCAAAGTCAAAACTTTTTAGTGGCCACCTAACGTTTTTAGCACGTTTAGCATCTGTTAGCACGTTTAGCATCTGTTAGCACGTTTAGCATCTGTTAGCATGTTTAGCATCTGTTAGCATTTGAAGTAACATGGAAATGACGGAAGACCTACTTCTCAACTTGTGGAACATCAGTGGGAAAACATCAAACACTAGAAATATTATTTTATTTAAAAAAACATTGCGTTACAATTACAATTCATAGCCCCTCACTTCCATTTTAATTTGGGGTTTTTGGTTTAGAGATGATGTTTTATTACAAATATATATATATATTTTCTTATAGTTTAATTATCATGATTATTATTATACAAAATATTCAAAATTAGATGAAGTAAAAATATTTTCTTTTCAGTTTTTGGCGGTAATTTAGAAGGGGATGTTTCAATAAGAAAGCCATACTTGTAATAATTTATGTCAGAGTTTAATTTGTATTATTATTATTTATTCATCTATTATTAATTATTTTCTTCAATTTTTATTTTTGATTGATAACACCTGATAAGCACGTTTTAAAAGCACTCGTTTAACCTTTACCTGTGGATGTTGATGTATTTGTTGTTTTGTTTACTCTGTCTCACCTTTACATCGCTCACAGCAGGCGCCGGTCTGTTTCACCACCAGAGCACAATCCTCAGAAACCAGAGGACATTTCTCCTGCTTACAGTCCGCCTTACCCTCCTGGAGAGAGGGAGAGAGGGGGGGAGGAAGAGGAGAGGAGAGAGGAGAGAGGAGAGAGGAGAGAGGAGAGAGGAGAGAGGAGGGAGGAGAGAGGAGAGAGGATTGGTTAGTGAGTTATTTTCAGCACATGGTTTCCCATTGTTAAAAACACAGTCTCTTCTCTGTTGTCGTTCAGTTTGAGTTCTGATTGAGGTGGAAGTGAAGCCTTAATGTTAAAGAGATGTAATCCAGTTCTATACATACTGGTTATCCAATAAAGAAATCTGAAAATCGTATATGTTATTATATATTTAGTAAGTAAGATAAAAACAATGTTTAAGTTAGTGAAGTTACAACAACCCAAGGAAATTGCCCTTTTTTTACTTTTTATCTCCGAAAAGATGTTTAAAAATCTATATAAATAACTAAATAATCATTTAAATGCATCCTAAGAAACAAATGTAACCCTCAACAATTCATCACATCTGCTTAACAGGACTGCATGGGATGTTTGATCAGATCTGACATGTCAACAACAACAAAAAGAGTGTCTTCTTTCTGAGTATTGGACACATTGTTGAACTTAAATGAGACACTTCATAACAAGTCAATCACCAAAGTTATCAGAAAGCATCCTCAGGGGGACATTCATATGTGTGCAAAGTGTCATGGTCATACATCCAATATGTGTCGCCACGAAAGCAGCGTTGCATCACCAAACTAGGACTTGTAATGTGTTCATGCCAGCAGATAAACCAGCCTGTGCTCCGTGATGAAAACTCAACATGTCAGAAGTCTGCAGTGTGTGTCTCTAAAGTATAAACGACCCAATGTTCGCAGTTTAGCTGTGAATTTTCACACCAACTCCACAACCCCCCCCCCCGTCACCTTCAGACGCTCGCCTGCAGCGTGGGACCGCGCCGGTTTAATCCACTCCACTTTCACACCCGGCTTTTATTGCTGACTTTATCCAGTGTGTGTGTGTGTGTGTGTTTTTCATTTTACACACTGTGAGGGTTTATAAAGTGCAGACTGGCTCTAACGAGGACGGATCAAAGGGACGGCGAAAAATAAATCGGGGTGGTTTAATATAGCAGCGGCAGCTCCAACTTAAACCCCAACCACACTGAGGACATGAAGTCATGAAGGGAGGAGAGGGAAGAGAGGAGAACGTTAAATAAGCAGTTAGATAAAAGAGGAAAAGGGACTCAATCTGCTTTTGCACACTCACATTCTCCCAGAAACATATGGGACATTTTATGAGAAAATACGCTCGAGTCAATATTCTGCAAAAGTAGAATGTGACGATACATTGGGTGAAGTTGTTTCAGGCTATATGCCGATTTCTGGGTATTATAATTGGCAATTTTCAGATGTCATTTGTCCTACATTTATGGGCTTAACCAACCGCCGTCTGACCACAGCAGCCTCTCGCTCACTTTAAAAATAAAAAGGGGAATTTAGACCACAGAGGTGAGCGTCTGGTCAAATGAGCAGCGGTGCAAGAAGCTGGAAAATGTTGGGAAGTAGAGCTTTAACCAAGACGTATCATATTAATGTCATCCTTCAGCAATTGGAGCTATAAAAGCTCTACTGTCAGTCAAAATATAAATCTTTTTATTTAATCTTCATACGTTAGTTTAAATTGACTACAATAAAAAGCAACATATATTGTACTGTGTGCATTTCTTTGTGCCTAATGCTATCATGTTTCTGAATGATTATGCTTTTGATTAAGAGCTTTGTCGATTTCAGGGTTTAGTTTTTAATAAATTATACGACATAACTGATTGTTGTATTTCTAAGGATAGGTGGAAGTTTCTCTAGTGTCAGCAAAAAAGTAAACTGAAGGTGGATCCTCAGAAAAAACAGCACAACATCCTGGATGCCGCTAAGCTAAAGGTGGCTAATGTTGGGCTATAAAGGAACTACAGCACGGTCACATGACTTCACGTCACCACCGCTAAGCTAAAGGAGGCTAATGTTGGGCTATAAAGGAACTACAGCACGGTCACATGACTCCACGTCACCACCGCTAAGCTAAAGGTGGCTAATGTTGGGCTATAAAGGAACTACAGCACGGTCACATGACTTCACGTCACCACCGCTAAGCTAAAGGCGGCTAATGTTGGGCGTGATGACATTTAGTCGTCTCATTTAGACACTTTTTAGCAACCGTTGTTTTTTAGATTCACCAGTGGGGTATTTACAGGCGTATTTTATATCGTATAACCAAACGTTAAAATCTGTTAAGCTTGTGTTAACCACAGACCAAGGTCATGTCCTTCTCTCTCTCTCCCTCTGTTAACCATTAGCACAGGGTGGTGTGAGGTACATGTGACCCCCCCACACACACACACACTCTCACCCCTCTTGTCTTGGGGTCAAAGGTTGCGCCGGGTCACCACGCCTTATAAACACTCGACATACCACCGCGGCACCGAGGCCGGACCACTGGACGGCTGTCTGTCGCCGAGGGTGACCACCCCCAAAACACACACATATATATATATATACACACACACACACACACTGTGGGATAACGCGTTGGTATGCTCGTAAGTGTGTGTCAGAGAAAGGGAAAGTGGTCAAGTGTTTAGATGCTACTGTTCTGAGAGGAGTTTGAATATGTTTCGTAAAATCGACTGGATTCACAGTTTTTTTTTAATCTATTTCAAACTACCGCGCCAAAATTAAATTAGCCGATTTCCTAATAATAATAAAAAAACTGTCTTCTGAGTTTATGGTGAAATTCACAAAGCACGTTCAGGAGGAACATCCCTGAACAAGGTTTCAGTGTGAGACAAAAAAAGTCTTAAAATCAGATCTTATAAGCGTAGCATTTTAAATTCAATCAGTTGAATTCAATCATTACTAACTCGTTTAGTGAATGTTAAGGTCAACTACAGAAATGCAGTTACACAAAGTTCATGTTCTGTTCAGCTGCAGGAAAAAAAAAACGTCTAAGAGTTCATCATATGTGCTTTTTCCTGCTTTAAAAGTCAGTGGAAAAGGAGGTTTTTCAGGTAGAAATATGTTATAAATATCCATTTCAAATCAGTAAATTGCAGATAATAAATGTCATTTGTGTGTGTGTGTGTGTGTGTGTGTGTGTGTGTGTGTGTGTGTGTGTGTGTGTGTGTGTGTGTGTGTGTGTGTGTGAATGTTAGCTTCAAAGAGCAATTGGCACTATGAGGGAGGTGTGAATGACTCGTAGTATGTAAAGCACTTTGAGGCGTCGTAAAGACCTGATAAAGCGCTAAATAAGTACAGTCCATTTACCATTTAATTGGACAGAATCTACAAAGAGACATCATAAAAAACAACTTTTCAAAGTCAATTTGAAACCAAACTGGTCGTTAAAACATTGACAGAAACTAAAATCTCAATCCTTTTAATTTGAATCCACATGTAATACTCTTGTTCCTCTTCTTGTGTTGATTAACGCTGTCAGTTGTTCTGTTGTGCCACTAGGAGGCGACAGCGCTCACTATTTCTCCTCCTCAGTGTTTATCTTCTTCACTTCTCCTCATCGTCACTCTCAATCATCCATCCCTTTATCTTCCTCTCAATGCAACCATTGAGAGTAGCAGAACTTAATTGCATAACTACTCTGGTACAAGTAAAAGTCTTGCATTAAAAATAAGTATATACATAAAGTGTGCCATTAAAATATACTTTAAAGGTGGGGTAGGTAAGTTTGAGAAACCGGCTCGAGATACACTTTTTGTTATGACATTATTGTTCTATTAATATAAAAGGAGGTCAGGTACTCTTTAAAACAGCTGCTAGTTATGGGTACTTTTTACTTAAAGGTGGGGTAGGTAATTCACTTCAGAAACACTTGTTATATTCCATGGAATGCTCTTAACATCCCGATAGCAATGAATATCTTAAGTGCTTTGACAAAAAATCCATAAAAAATATCATCTGTGGAAGCCGTAATACTGTAAAAAGCACGACCAATCATTTTAGCCGGCCCGGCTAAAATAACTGGATGGCCTACCTGCCTGTCAGCCTTCCATCTGTGCACAAACTTATCTCGTGCCCTCATTGGTCATGTGCACGTTCGTGTGTGTTGGAGGAGGGGCTCTATAAGGAAGTGGCAGATTTTCTCCGGCTGTGTATTTTCAAATCCTAGCGCACTCGAGCTGGTTTCTCCAAAATTACCTACCCCACCTTTAAGTAACAAAAGTAAAAGTGTAAAAGCCCATTTTAGAATAATATATATACATATATATGGATTCTGATTATCAATGCATTAATGTCTTCATCACAGCTGGTGCACGTGGAAGTGGAGACTATTTTTTAATTACGTTATATTCTGCTCCTATCTATCCTATCTATATGTCAATATATCAATATTATATGTGACGACAGGTGTTCAAAATGTAATTAACTGTGTCTTTATTACCTATTTTTGAAGAAATTAAAAGTATCAAACATGTAGAAATATTAAACGTAGGGTATTCACACCTTCATCAACCAATAAAAAACTAAATATAGTTATATTTCAACGTAGATTTAAATTATTCTGTTAGCTAATAATCTTAATTGGTAAGTACTAAAGCTGTCAGATACATTTAACGCAGTATTAAGAACAATATTGACTTCCTAAGAGTAGTAGAGTAGTAGTAAAAGGTAGCAAAAACATGAAAAATACTTCAAGTAGATGTATTTCATTTCATTTAAACACTGGATTCTATTTGTATAGATGAGAGTAACACCTACGTCACTTCCGGGCGAAAATTACGGCCCGGCCCACTTTTTGGGGAAAACAACGCTGTCATTTGAATGGCGGTCAATACAAATTCTGAAGTTTTTGCCAATCCGATCAGAAATGTTTGAAAACCGTGGATTTGTGGATCTTCAAAGAGCCCGATTACGATGGCCATTCAGGCAAACAATTATATTAAATCATTGGAAATCGACGATCGGGCTCAATATGTGGTTAAATTAAAATCAGTAGGCGAGGCCGTAATTTCGCCAACTGTTACTCTCATGAGCGAGGCGGAAAATAA